TAACTTTAAAAAGCTATCCTTGAAATTATCGGAACATTTTTTGAAAGACGCAATGTCTTCGATATTGTTGATGCATAGACTATATTTTATTCCAGACCCTAATCAATAGAAGGTAAATAAGGATGCAGATTTCAATCAAATTCATGGCATCAAACTTCAGCTATTTATATATTTAGAATGATAACTTAAAAAATTCTGCACATTCACAATTTGTTTGAGAGTCAGAGCAAAAAATGAGAACTGAAGACAGAAATTGTTGTCACATAAAAAATCTTGGAACTGCACAATTTGTCTAAATTCTCCTTACAAATTCGTAGTAGTAACGTACAATAGATATACAGTTAGCGTACTCATGATTGGTTTAAACCAATGTTGGATGATCCGGTGATGATATTAGGTCAGCTAAGTAGTCATACTTTTTTTTGGCACTGTCTGTCTCATTTGTTTTCAAATGCATATTTTTTAGCTCCTTAAAATGCATTTTAATACCATCCTCTAAGAACTCGCCTATGATTTCGATTAGTTTTGTTATAAATAGTATTAAATTTGGCTTACTATTCCAGCAGCGAAACATTGTAACTGAAATAATAAAGAAAATATGTCATCTCTTTTTCATTCACAGTAATAAAATTATTCTCGAAGTGTTTCGTTTGGCTTGCCTGACTCTACGTGCTGATAATAGGCTACGTTACACAAATGTTGTCTACTTGATATAAGATAAATTATGAGGTTTTGTTGTCATAATTTATGAATCAACCCTTTGGCGTATTACACACAGTTTGCCTCATCAAGTAATATTTTTATGCCCAACAAACTATCGATCAATGAATGGTACTCCAAACTAAGGATCAAAGAAATGTTCATAATAAAAAAGTTGTTTAAGGATTACACGGGCTGGATTTGAAATAATTTAGTTTCAAACGTTCTTGATTAAAATTAGTAAGTCAAATAATTTTGTAAAGTTTTTTTCTTTGATGGTCTGATGGGTTTCATTGTTCTTTTATCACGTATTATAATGAGCAGCATGTCAGTTCAACTTAATGACTCTCAATCTTTTATGTACCTTAGCTATTGCTAAACGCATGAAATATATTAATTACGAACACCTATATTATATACTTCGTATATATACTATAATATACTTCGTACGCGATCGTCAGCGGATAGCTTGTTACTTGCTCAAACTTTTTGTCAAACCACGCCTTTGTCAAATAGTTCAACAAGTTCCCAGTGGAAGTGTAAGTCAGTTTAAAATGTCGAGCTTTCAAAGATGGATGTTGCTACTTCGGTGAATGGTGTTAGCTCTTTTTCTCTATTTACTTTCAAGTAAGTCATATAAAATTGTCATTAATATTCAGTATCGCTTCTGTTTAGTGTTGGTAGTGGAGTGTGAATATAACACCACACTTACAAAATATACTATGAGATTTTTGCTTAAAAACGGTTGCGTGGCATTATGGATTGAAAAAAAAAGTAAATAAAATGGAGAACAGAACTGCATGTTTAAAAACCAGGTTAATAGTTCTTAATTTTTGGCTTCATGCCATGCTTTTTTTGCTTTACCGCCTTAAGCAAGTAGGTGTCTGATTTTTTCGATACTGAAGTTCTGCTGACACGTGGCATACCTCATTTCCACAATTTTGTGTTAAGATTATCATACCTGGCACATTTTTCCTTGTAAAACTTTGCAAACTTTATTTGAATGGTTGAAAGTCTTAAAAAAATTAACGTTTGATAAATACATTATAGGTTGCCAAGAACATGAGATCTAGTTTCATCCTCATTTGGCAGAGTTAAAAATAAATGAAGGAGACGCTCTGGAGATAACTTGCAAAAACCGGAACTATGTGTTTTTTAAGTATCCTGACTTAAATGAAGACAATGTAAGTTACATGAATATCTCATACGTATTAGTTTTTATCAAATCATTGTCGTGCACTTATTAAAAATAAAGAATTATCTTCTAGAAATATTAGTTCAAAGAAAAAAATTATGAACATTATAAATGCGCATCAACAAAAAAATTGAGTTAGAGTTTGTTGCGGTTTAAAAATGTTTTTCCGCCCTCGGGTGGTTTTGGGAGGCTCGTACTTCCTCGGGCGAAAAAGCAGTTTTCCGGAACTTGTTCGAAAAGTCTCCTTTACGAACCTCGTTACGGACCTCGCCTTCGGCTCGGGCCGCAAACCTCTCGGTTCGCAAACAAAGACTTTTCAAACTCGTAGGAAAACTACTATTATTCTACTAATACCTTTACTGTTAGAATTCTTCAGATTGGACGTAAGCAATAGTTTATTGTAGAAGTGTAGTCATTTTCGTGTACCTAAAGAATTATTTACGATATATATGTAACCTCATAGTTCTAGATACTGGCTGAGTACCTTATATTTTTATTTTGTTACCGTTGATAATATGCATACAATCAAGTTTTGAACGTTGTTTTTCGCAGCAATTTCTGTAGGTTCGAGAAATACACCTGAAGTAGGGAGAAGCTATTAATGTTTCCCACGAATAAAGAATATCATACACTAACACATTTAACTTTATGTTACTCAATTTTTTTATTCCAACTAATGGAACTTTCCGTGTTTGCAGAGAAGAACCTTTCAATAAGTTGAGGGTATTTTCAGCTGCCCAGGTGTAGTTTTATAACTTTTATATTACAACAATGATTTTCAAACTATGACATTATCTAATTTATTGCGTGTCATGTTTGAAAAAAGTAGTGATAAAAAGAAATCATCTAGCGGTTACGATCTTTCCCATTGAATCCATACAAAATAAAACAATTTCTTCTACAAATCAATGAAATGATCTTTCAATAGAAATGCTGTTTTTTTGTTTTCTATGAAAAAATTTGGCAATTAGTTTGAATTTATGGTTGTAACGACGACTCATCTCATTGAAAATTGTTACATTTGTCATAAATATTCATAATAATAAAAAAAAATAACAAACCAGGGGGGATAAATGGGTCATGGGACCCACGGTAAGAACGAAGTTCTTTAAACATGAGATGAGTATAGACACAATTTCTCAGGTAACAAGGGGGTCGCCAGACCCACAGGAAGAACGAAGCTCTGTAAACGTTAGTACTG